GTCATCAGCCTATCATCCCCAAACGGATGGTCAGACTGAGCGCCTTAACCAGATTGTCGAACAGCTTCTGCGAGCAGCGTGTAAGGACGATATCTGTAAATGGGATGCACTCCTGCCGGTTCTCGAGTTTGCGTATAACAACGCCACGCACGCCGCAACAGGGCAAACCCCTTTCTTCCTCTGTTACGGTCGCAACCTACTCACGCCTCAGAAACCAACAGTACCCGCCACGATGCAACCCGCACATGACTTCATTACCACTATGCACCAATTGTGGGAGCGCATGCATAACGTCTTTTGACTATCCAGCAGCAACAAAAGAAGCTCGCTGATCGGAGTCGCAATGATCATTCCAACAAGATTGGCGATCAAGTGCTTCTGGATACACGCGATCTCGGCATTAGCCATCTTCCGTCTAAGCTCCGACCTCGCTTCTCCGGACCTTTTCTCGTCGAGGCGCAGGTCACTCCAGTAACCTTCAGCAGGAAGTAGCGCTCTCCGGCCTGTCCACGGACGCGGGCTGGGCCCCACACGTCCATGTGAAGGGTCTGCAGAGGAGCCTCCGTCGGGGGGAACTTAGAGGAGTGAGGAGTGGCACGCTGCCGCCCCTCGACACAGGGAAGGCAAGGAGGGGCAGGGGACGGTGGCAGGGGAGGCAGTGACCTGGGGAGACCAGAGACAAGGAAACGAGAGTGCATGCCACGAAGGCGCTGCATCGAAGGGTGCCCAAGGCGGTGGTGCCAGAGGACCGTCCGGTGCGACAGCATGCGATACGAGCAGGGGGCGGACAACTAATCTGACGCAGACGTAGACGCCGCTACCTGAGGGGACTCAGAGGTCAGTGTGTACAAGTCCGACCCCGGCTGCCGAGTGAAGGTAGCCAGGTGACGACCCGTCTGGGCACACGTGCAATGTGTCACACACTCGTAGGCAGGGGTGAACTGGTGAACACCCGCGTCCTGGAGCGCAGAACCCGCCACCAAGTTCGTAGAGAACGAGGGGAGGTAAAGGCCTAACAGTGTGCCGGACGAGACAGCAGGACAAGGGAGGGTAGTGGTGGAGGTCGCAAGGACCGGACCCCTTGAGGGGTCAGCCAGGGAGACAGCAACCAGCCTAGGGAGCTGCTTGAGGGCAGTGCGATCGTGAAAGAAATAGCGAGAAGCACCTGAGTCCAGTGTGAAGGTGTGCAGTGCCTCAGTAGACGTAGTACCTGAAGGCGCAGACTCACAAGCACCTGAAGCAGCAGACACACCTGCACCTAGAGCAACAGCCTCACCAGGACCAGGGGCAGCAGACGCACTAGCACCTAGAGCGGCAGCCTCACCGGCACCTGGAGCAGCAAACTGGATACCGGGGTCAGGCGGCATACACAGGTGACAGACTCCCTTGGCACTAGTAGACAATGCATACATTGCAGTAAGAATAGCATCATAGTCAAGAGCAAAGATATCTACCCTCTGCCTAAGCAGCTCCACCCAGTCGGAGAGCTCAGCGTCGTCGCCAAACTCTGTACGCCAAGCGTCGCTCAAACGGGCAAAGCAGCGGGACTCTGTGTGACCACGCGTCCCGCAAGGCTGATCAGTCCGGACACCCGTGCTAATAACGTACGAGCAGCGAGCAGTACTATGCGACCCTCTACTCTGAGCGTACCACTCAAGAAGCTGCTGGGGCGAAAGAGTCTCTCGCGGACGACGCTGCTGCTGCATAGGGCCACTACAAAAAGCTCCTGAACTACCCACTCCAGGACGACTCCCACTATTGCCACCCCGACAACCCCAACTGGCGTACCAATCACGAAGCTGCTGGGGCATGAGGGACACACGCGGACAGCCCTGGAGCTGCATCTGACCACGCTAGGAGCAGTAGTAGAAGAAGGAGCAGCAGGAGCAGCAGTAGCAGTAGCAGCAGGGGCGGGGCAGTGCTTACCAGTGGTGGGAAGGGCAGGCGCACGACGGAAGCGACTGCGGGGCCGCTACAGCAGCAGGGCGGGGCCGCGACTATGGCAGGAAGCTCCGCGGCAGCTGGTTCAGGGCAAGGACAGGGCCGCGACGGTCGCTGGTGTAGGGGCGGCTGCTCCAGGGGCCACGGGCAGCTCCTGCAGTGGTGGCTGCTCAAGTGGCCAGGGGCGGCTGCTGCAGGGGCGGCCGCTCCAGGGACCAGGGTCGGCTGCAGGTGCGGCTGCTCCAGGGGCCAGGGGCGGGTGCTGCAGTGGCGGCTGCTCTAGGGGCCAGGGGTGGCTGCTGTAGGGTCGGCTGCTCCAGGGGCGGCTGCTCCAGGGGCGGCAGCTGCAGGGGCGGCTGCTGCAGGGGCGGCTGCTCCAGGGGCGGCTGCTCCAGGGGCCTGGCGCGGGGTATGGCAGGGCGATGCAGTGGGCAGGGGCGACGCGGCGAGTAGAGGGACGCGGCAGGCAGGGGCGACGCCGCAAGCAGGGGCGACGCGACGAGCAGGGCGACGCGGCGGGCAGGGGCGACGCCGCGTCAGCAGCTGGGCGCGGCCGCGTCAGTAGCAGGGCACGGCCGCGTCAGCAACATGGCGCGGCCGAGTCAGCTGCAGGGCTGACGGGGCCGCGTCACGGCAGGGCGGGGCCATGACTGCGGCCTGACGGGGCCGCGACTGCAGCCTGACGGGGCCGCGACTGCGGTCTGACGGGGCCGCGACTGCGACCTGACGGGGTCGCGTGCTGGTCTGACGGGCCTGCAGAGGCTGCAAGCGGGTGGCGAGGGCCTGCAGGGGCGGCACGCGGTCGAGCAAAAGCTGCGCGCGGGCGGCGTGGTCCTGCAGGGGCAGCGCGCCGACCTGACGGGCCTGCAAGGGCGGCTCTCGGGCCTGACGGACCTGCAGAGGCGGCTCAGGGGCCTGACGGGCCTGCAGAGGCGGCTCAGGGGTCTGACGGACCTGCAGGGGCGGCTCGAGGGCCCTACTAGCTTGCAAGGTCGGCGCACTGGCCTAGGGCAGGAGGTGGCAGCGCGAGGGGTGCAGGACGGCGCGCAGGCAGAACGAAAGGCGGGGCGCGCGAGGGCGCACTAGCAGAAAAAAGGGGGCGCACGAGGGCGCACGAGCAGAGAAAGGCGCACGAGGGCGCTTCTAGCGGAATAGTGGGCCCGTAGTAGTAGGCGGTCCTAGGTGGCAATCTAGGCTCGTGATACTATGTCAGAATGAACAAAAGTGATTGCACTAGGAAAAAGTTGGGTACAAGTAGGAAACCCTAAACTTACTGTACCCCATAGTGACTACCCCACTACAGCCTAAACAGAGTGTAGTAGACATAGCATTTGACACGTTCGTTCAAAATGATGTTGCGTCGTCAATACTTGATGAAATCGTGCGATTTAAATTGCCTATTGCAGACGACTCGAAGACGCTATAGATCCAGGTTATAGCATGTCATTTGGAGTTGTGCTCAAAACGCTATCAACTTTTAAAGCGGATGTGCAAAAATATGTCTATGCACTCTGTTTTTCGTTTTAGGCACATTGGAGCCTATTGTGAATATAACAAGTGGTATCAGAGCGAAGATGAACCCATAGAAGAAAGGGTGCATAAATTATTCGACTTGTTGACGCGGCTTGAGAGGGCTGATTAGAACTATAGTGAGCTCCTAAAGAAGACCAAATTGTTGGCCCTACTCCTCGAGTCATGGTCCTTGCTCATCATTAACTTGAATGGTGACATGCCCCACCTCTCGCTCGAAGACGTGAAGCGAACAGTCCTTCAAGAGAATTTTCGCTGCTGCGAGTTGGGGTCTCGGATGGCGCCGGTGCACCAATCATCAGCCGTGGGTACGGCCGTGGAAGGGGCAGAGAACGAGGAGGAGGCAGGTTTGGTGGCAGTAACTTCAGTAGAGGCCGCGGGAATGGCAGATACAGCAGCGACGACAAGAGCTATACGGACGCGGTCGCGCCTGATTCGACGGCGAATGCCATTGTTGCCATAAGAGCGGACACATGTGGCGCGATTGCTTCAAGCTCCCTAATGGATGGACCCCTCCTCAAGGCCAAGTGGGTAGAGGAGCAGGAGAAAGGAGAGGAAGAGGCCGTGGAGGCCGTGACGGTCGCGGAGGTGGTGCTGCAAACATGAAGAACGAAGATAATTACAAGGGCACGAGGGACGATCGGTTCCCGAATTAATTCTTCTTTGTCTCGACGCAATCACCAGCTGCACCAGAGAAAGATGAAAGTCTTTTGGAGCCTGCTGCTGTGGGAAAGGTGATCTTACAATTCCTGGACTATTGGGTAATCAATAGCGACGCTACCTATAGCATGATTACGGTACATATCTGTGTGTTGTGCACTTTCTACTATAGGCTATGTAAAGGTGCACCATAGAGGGCACAGATTTGCATACTCTTGTGCTTTCTCACTTTAATTAATTTTTGTTTCTTGCAGCAATGCCACTGCTTGATCAGCTAATCTCATATGAGCTACTCCTTAGATGCAGTAGTAGCGGGTAGTGCCAGGGACTCCACAAACTGCTGCAGCTCCGCCCTCTCCTCTCGTGTGAGGCCCCTTTCTGATCCCCCCTTGCTCTTGTGGTGCAGCCACAGCTTGGTCACCGGGTCAGGAGCCCAGCCTGCAGTGACGTTGGTGGCAGGTCAGGGGGAGGAGGGTAGCTAGGGGAGGTGGTACGTGGGTGGGGAGGAGGACGTGGGAGGTGGGGGGAGAGAGCAATGGAACTCAGAATGAGACCTTAGCTGATGCATTTGGATCTCAGCTTCTTCTCCAAATCACCAGCCTGGCGTGCAACACAGGGAATTTTTACAAGGTCGTACCCATGGGAACCGCCAGCTGTGCAAGACATGGCATGCACGTCCACTGCCCTCCCACCAACCCTCCCTGTCTCCACACTGCTCGGACTCGCACCAACCAAGCTCAGACACTTCCACTGCCCATCCCTCCCCCACATTCCTTTAGGTCGAACCTGTGGGGACAGGCAGCTGAGCAAGGGCTTTTGACGCAGCACGCATGTCCACTGCACCAGCCCTCCTTCCCCTCTCACTGCATCTAGCCCAGAACCTTCCGCGCCCCTTGTGCCACCCCTTGTGCCGCCCCTTGTGCCGCCCCTTGTGCCACCCCTTGTGCCGCCCCTTGTGCCGCCCCTTGTGCCGCCCCTTGTGCCGCCCCTTGTGCCGCCCCTTGTGCCGCCCCTTGTGCCGCCCCTTGTGCCGCCCCTTGTGCCGCTCCTTGTGCCGCCCCTTGTGCCGCCCCTTGTGCCGCCCCTTGTGCCACCCCTTGTGCCGGCCCTTGTGCCGCTCCTCCCACGGTGGTGAGCCCCAGGAGTGCAGCGAGGTGGGAGAGGCAGAGCAGCTCCGAGGGGCTGCCGGGCGGCACGATGGAGGCGAAGGGGATGACGGCCGCAGCGTGCTGCTTCCAGCGCTGGTGGTTGCGCAGGTAGGATTGCATGTGCGCCTTGATGTGCCTGCATGCAGGAGCGCATGGGGGAGAAAGTAGGGTGAGTGGTGTGGGGGCAAACGAGATCACGGCAGCAGCGTGCTGCTTTCAGCGATGATGGTCGCGCAGGTAGGCCTGCATGTGGGCTTTGATGCGCCTGCATCCACGTGACAGGGGAGTGGTACAAGGCGAAGGGCGAGGGGAATGACGGCAGCAGCGCACAGGTAGGCCTGCATGTGCGCCTTGATGCGCCTGCATGCACGCGTGCAGAGGGGAAGGAAAGTTGAGGTCGAGGGGAGAGGAGAAATGCCTTATGCGACTGCCTGCAGGCGCGCAGCGGATGCAGGGTTGGAAAAGGGGAGTGGGCAATGTTGACAACAAGAGAGAAACGAGGAGAATGCTCAATGTGCCAACAGTGGTCACGCAGGTAGGATTGAAAATAGGCCTTGATGCACCTGCATGCGGGCGCAGAGAGGGAAAGGAAGGTTTAGATGAAGGGAACGGGGACGGTGAATGAGAGGGGAGAGGAGAAATGCGCTCTCCTTCCAGTGAAGGTGGTGGGACGGGTGGCCCTGATGGGACTGCAGGAGTGCAGGAGAGACAGTAGGTTGAGGAAAAGAGAGAGGGGAGGGTGGGAGAGGGTCGCACTGCTGTAGCGCTGGACTGCAGGTGCACGTTTGAAAGAGGATGCGGCGGGGAGATGCACCGGGGGTGTGAGAGCCAAGGAAGGTTTCCAAAGAGAGTTGGCTGATCAGGAGGGATAGGCGTCGCGTGGCAGTAGAAGCGTGACAGCGGGTGCAATGAGGACAGTATTGGAAGACAAGGAAGAGGGCATGCTGTGTGGTAATCCAAGCGACTCACGGCATGCTGTGCGGTAACCAGCCGACGCGGAGGTAGGAGTCAGCGACGCCACACACGTCCCTCTCAGTCAGCAGCACCACCCCACTCCACTCTCCCACCTCCCACCCCTCCACCCACTCGTGTGTCTTCACCACCACGCTCACTCCTCCCCACTCCCCTCCATCCCTCCCCACCCCTTGACCATCCCCTCTTCCCCCTAAATCCTCCGCGGACCCCCGTCCTTCTCCCCCTATCCCCACTCCCCCTCTCCCCTCCCCCCCAGGTTCGGGCCTGCCCAATGGCGAAAGCCCCCCATCCACTCCCCCCGCACCCCCAGGTCCGCGGCTGCCCAGTGGCGAGAGCCCCCTGGCGCGCAGCTTGCTGGCGGAGATGGAGTACAGCCAATAGGAGAGCGACAGCTGGCCCGAGTGGGCGAGCAGCAGGCGGACGGCGTTGAAGAGCCACGTGGAGCCTGCAGGGAGGCAGGGAGGGAGACGATGTGAGGGGGATTGGGGAGAGGGAAGGGAGGGCATGTGAGGCTGGGTGCAGGCGGGGAAGCCCGTGGGACGTGCAGTGAAGGAGGGACGTGCAGTGAAGGAGATACGTGCAGTGAAGGAGGGACGTGCAGTGAAGGAGATACGTGCAGTGAAGGAGGGACGTGCAGTGAAGGAGGGACGTGCAGTGAAGGAGATACGTGCAGTGAAGGAGATACGTGCAGTGAAGGAGGGACGTGCAGCCTGCAGTCGGCCAGCCAGGCGACGGAGGGATTTTGGAAGGGAGGAAATGGGAAGGGGGTTGGGGAGAAGGGGGAAGTGGGAGGAGGGGCTGGGCGGAAGAGGGGGGTGGGGGGGAAGTGAAGCTTGGGGAGACGGGGAAGGCATGTGCAGTGAGGACGAGGAACGGCCAGGGAGCAGCAGGCGGACGGCGTTGAAGAGCCACGTGGAGCCTGCAGAGGAGGGGGGATGAGAAAGGGGATGTGAAGAGAAGTTGGCGCGGGAATACTGCGAGTGAAGCCTTCCGTGACAACACGTGACTAGGCCGGCAGATCTGACGTGAGGGCGGATGGACGGTGCGTGGGGGGAAGAGTGGGGGGGGGAGTGAGGTTGTGATGTGTGGAGTGGATGGCAGTCGCGGGAAGAGCGGAGCATGCGGGTGCGAGGCAAATGAAAGGACGTGGAAGGAAGTATGCGGTACGAGTTAGGGCTTGGAAGCTCGGAAAGAGAACAGCTTCGATCAGGCTGTCAGCACCGCGGCGCGATTAACAATGCATGATTCAGTGGGTGGAAGGTGCCGCACCCGACCTCTCTGGTCCCGCGCACACGATCAGCCGAGGCCTTCCCCACGCACTGACGCCACTGTTCTGCTCCCGACGCGCCACGTGTCGGCTCGACAGCACATCTCGCCACGTGGGGTCCACGTGGAGCAGCTCGCACTCGCCGTCGCCGCAACCACTACCGGCCGGACAGAGTGTGCGACGCGCCCACGATGGCAAGAGTTCAATCAGGGTTTCGTCATCTAACGAGGAGTCTATACTCGCGGATGAATGGGTTCTTCGCGGCTCGGCCGCCATGGCGACTACGGCGGGGTGCTATGAGGTCACGGGTGCCGCCACGAGCAGCCTGGCCGCGAGCGGGCGTCAGGAGCGGCCTAAATGGTCGGAGAAGAGATTTCCGCGGCAGCGCGGCGAGAGATGAGAAATGGACGCGAAGCGACGCTGCCAAGGCAGGCATGGCTGACAGTCGTGAATAGCCGAATTCGGCCTGATGCTGAGCAATATAGATCAACCATCCAAGGATGTCACACCCGCATTTGTATCTGTGTTAGGGCGCGTCTCCTCCCTCGATCGATTCCGATATGACGAGAAAAAACAGATCGGGCACACCGATCGCAGGATTGGGGCGGGTTTGGTAGGAGGTGACGGTTGCAGATCGATCTCGCGCCCAGGGTGTCAGGATCGAGAATTGAAGGGGGAAAAACTCTCGATCCTACAAAAGCCGGGATCGGTGTGGCCACAAAGGCATATCGACCGTCATCAGCGGAGGTGACAAGATCGTTGGGCCCCAATTACTGTGCTCTTGTTAGCCTTCTCGAAATGTGGTTACCCTGTCTATTGCGACATTGTAGCTGTCCCTCAGATCGATCGAGGGCAGGATCGATCGAGTGAGGAGACGCGCCCTTACCCCCCAAACCTATTCCACGGCCCCCGTTTCCTGATTCCACGGCCATTCCGACGCTGCTCGCGAACAGGACCATTTTCGATTACTTCAAACACGTCATTCGTGAGAAAATACATCACCCGACGCGCCACTCACGGCATGTTCCGTAGAGAAGCACGTCGCAACTCAGCAAGCGGCGCGAATAACTACCTTTTTATTCTCAGACGTACAGTGATTATGCGCATGCACCAACGCTTCGCCCGCCCTCTCCCCGTCGCCTCTCTGGTACTCATGCCTTCGTGCACAACTGTCTCACATTCGTTTGTCCTTAAAACATCCTTGACCGCTCGCTTTCTTTAGCAAATCGCCACCTCTCACTCCCGTCTCGCCACCCATTGCGGCCTCACGCCATCTCGCAAGCGTTCGACGTCCCTTTTGCACGAGCGACAAAGGCGCGTCTCATCGGGTGGGTGTGTCGCGTGCCCGCCGCTCATCACCACGAACGCGCCTCTCGCACACACCCACCCTACCCTATCACTCTCGCCTCTCCCGTGCGCTCACATTCGCCCCGCACGCTCTCACACGCTCGCGAACGCAATAGCGGCGCCGGCCGCACGAGTTGCCATGGTGACTTTCCATTCCTTCCCCTTTCCCTCCCATTCCTTCCCCTTTCCCTCCCATTCCTTCCCCTTTCCCTCCCATTCCTTCCCCTTTCCCTCCCTTTCCCTCCCATTCGTTCCCCTTTCCCTCCCTTTCCCTCCCATTCGTTCCCCTTTCCCTCCCTTTCCCTCCCATTCGTTCCCCTTTCCCTCCCTTTCCCTCCCATTCGTTCCCCTTTCCCTCCCTTTCCCTCCCATTCCTTCCCCTTCCCTCCCATTTCCTCCCATTCCTTGCCCTTCCCTCCGCTCCCCTCCCCTTCCCTCCCCTTCCCTCCCCTTCCCTCCCCTTCCCTCCCCTTCCCTCCCCTCCCCTCCCCTCCCCTCCCCCCTCCCCTCCCCTCCCCTTCCCTCCCCTCCCCTCCCTTTCCCTCGCCTCCTCTCCCCTCCCTGCCCCTCCCCTCCCCTCCCCTCCCCGCCCCTCCCCTCCTCTCCCCTCCCCTCCCCTCCCCTTCCCTCCCCTCCCCTTCCCTCCCCTTCCCTCGCCTCCCCTCAACTCCCCGCCCCTCCCCTCCCCTCCCTCCCCTCCCCTCCCCTCCCCTCCCCTCCCCTCCCCTCCCCTCCCCTCCTTTCCCGCCCATTCTGTGCACATCTCTCCCCCACCCCCAGTGTCGTGTCCTTATAGCCAGTGCGAGTACGGGAGAGGCGCCTGCATAGAGAGGCGCCTGCATAGAGAGGCGCCTGCATAGAGAGGCGCCTGCATAGAGAGGCGCCTGCATAGAGAGGCGCCTGCATAGAGAGGCGCCTGCATAGAGAGGCGCCTGCATAGAGAGGCGCCTGCATAGAGAGGCGCCTGCATAGAGAGGCGCCTGCATAGAGAGGCGCCTGCATAGAGAGGCGCCTGCATAGAGAGGCGCCTGCATAGAGAGGCGCCTGCATAGAGAGGCGCCTGCATAGAGAGGCGCCTGCATAGAGAGGCGCACGAATAGAATCGAGGCTCCTCTTACAGGGTGAGTCAGTCCACTCTATGCCCCTCCATCCATGCCCTTCCTCTCTTCCCTTCATGCCCTTCCTCTCTTCCCTTCATGCCCTTCCTCTCTTCCCTTCATGCCCTTCCCTTCCCGCCTTTTGTTTCTCTTCCTGCCCTTCCCTTCCCCCCCTTTCCTTCTCTTCCCGCCGTCCTGCCCTTCTCTTCCCGCTGCCCCCTTCTCATCTTGCCCTTCCCTTCCCTTCCCCGATCATCATTGGTCAAGAAGGGCAATCGCGGAATCCAACCCTCAAGTATCCCAAATCTGCATTGTACGCACGCCCGTATTCACCCCTTACTGTTGTCCGATGCAAGTTTGCTGCAGGTGCGATGAAGCGAGGGGAGGCGCGGCGGGTGGACATGGCGTGCAACGTGGAGGAGGAGGAGGAGGAGGTGGCGGCGGAGGACGCCATGCGCGAGCAGGAGGCGTGGGAGCGCTCCTACGCCAACGACCGCTCCTGGGAGTCCGTGCAGGTCACTGCTGCTTGTGGGAGTCACTGACCTTGCACTCACTGACCTTGCACTCACTGACCTTGCACTCACTGACCTTGCACTCATTGACCTTGCACTCACTGACCTTGCACTCACTGACCTTGCACTCACTGACCTTGCACTCACTGACCTTGCACTCATTGACCTTGCACTCATTGACCTTGCACTCACTGACCTTGCACTCACTGACCTTGCACTCACTGACCTTGCACTCATTGACCTTGCACTCACTGACCTTGCACTCACTGACCTTGCACTCACTGACCTTGCACTCACTGACCTTGCACTCATTGACCTTGCACTCACTGACCTTGCACTCATTGACCTTGCACTCACTGACCTTGCACTGCACTCACTGACCTTGCACTCACTGCCCTTGCACTCACTGCCCTTGCACTCACTGCCCTTGCGCTCACTGACCTTGCGCTCACTGCCCTTGCACTCACTGCCTTAGCACTCACTGCTTTTGCACTCACTGCTTTTGCACTCACTGCCCTCTCCCCCCCTTTCCCCCTTTCCCCTCCCCCATTCTGTGCTTCGGCGTGGGCAGGAGGACGAGAGTGGGCGGCTGCGCCCGGCGGACGTGGTGGGGCAGCAGCGCAGCGAGAGGGAGAGGCGGCGGCGGCAGCAGGCAGGGCAGGCAGGGCGGGTGGGGGCGCAGCGGGTGAGGCGCGGCATCATCCGCTACCTCGTGCTCGCCCTCGACTTCTCCCGGGTGGGTGGCTCGTGATGGTGGCTCGTGATGGTGGGTCGTGATGGTGGCTCGTGATGGTGGCTCGTGATGGTGGCTCGTGATGGTGGCTCGTGATGGTGGCTCGTGATGGTGGGTCATGATGGTGGCTCGTGATGGTGGGTCGTGATGGTGGGTCGTGATGGTGGGTCGTGATGGTGGGTCGTGATGAGCAGCCTTGTTCCGTGGCACTGCACTGGAGTGGAGCCATGGCATGCCGCCCATGGGATGGGTGGCCTTGCTTTTGTGTTGTCATATGTCATGGCTTCTCACTGTCTTCGTTCTTCACACCCAAGTGCCGCCCCGCACCATTGCGCTCTGGCATGGATGGAATGACATGGCACGGCACCTCGCGTCACCTCCCTGCATGGCAGGCAGGCGGCGAGTGAGGTGGACATGAAGCCATCGCGCATGGCAGCCATGGCGCGCAGCAGCGAGGCATTCGTTCTCAACTTCTTCGACAGCAACCCGCTCAGCCACCTCGCCCTGCTGCTGCTGCGAGACGGCGTGGCCTCGCAGCTGTCAGAGCTCACCTCGCCGCCAGACGCGCACATCAAGACGCTGCACGCCAACCTCTCCGCCTCGAGCCCCGCCTCCCTGCAGGTACCACCGCGCCTCCCTGCAGGTACCACCCCGAAACGAGACCACCCATCGTGCCTGCCCGTGATGTTTTCGCTCCTAACTGTCGCATACAATCATGCTCACGCGCCACCATGCTTTGAGTTCAATCTCCATCATGTTTCACGATGCACCCAGTCATCTGTACATGTCATCACCTCCACTTCACATTTCGTGCCTCTCCCGCCCGCACGCCTCCCCCCCTCCCCCCCTGTCAGAACGTGGTGGAGGCGGTGGCGCACGTGCCGGCGTACGGCCACCGCGAGCTGCTGCTGCTCTTCGCCGCGCTCGCCTCCACCGACCCCGGCGACATCCTGCCCGCCATCCGCCGAGCGCGCGCCGCCCACCTGCGCTGCTCCATCATTGGCGTGGGCGGCGCCGAGGTGCACATCTGCCGCCAGATCGCCGAGCAGACGGGCGGCCGCTACAGCGTTGCCATGGATGACGTGAGGCCCGTGGGCCTGTGGGGTGCGGCGCACCTTGGGGGCAGGGATGACGTGGGGCAGGGATGACGTGGGGCAGGGATGACGTGGGGCAGGGATGACGTGGGGCAGGGATGACGTGAGGCCTGTGGGGCGCTACTCTTGCCCACTTGCCCAATGGGGCGAGCAAGACTCGGCCGGGAATCGGTGGAGTCTTGCTCATCTAGCCTCTACCTTTTCTGCTCTTGTTGTTATTGTGCCCACCAGCAGGTACCCACTCTTAAGGAAACCTCTTCCTTCATGAGGAGCTTGCTTCAGTACCACTGTATCCGCCTCCATTGTGGACGTTTCACCATACATTCTACCTGCTGCGTGTGCATCTGAATCATGCCCCTCACCTTCCTCCTTCCTTCTCCGCCCTCCCTGCCTTTCTTTGTGTCACCAATCCTTTGCCGCTCGCCTTGTTCCCTTCTCCCTGCGTCATCTCCCCGACCCCCCCCCCCTCCCTCCCGCTCCCCCCCAGGCTCATCTGAGGGAGCTCTGCTGAGCCACGCGCCGCCTCCACCGGTGCAGGCAGGCAGTGCGGGCAGTGCAGCGAGTCTCGTGCGAATGGGCTTCCCCCAGCGCGCCCCCGAGGGAGCAGCAGCGCTGTGCGCCTGCCACATGCACCTCCGCCTCGCTGCCACCTATGTGTGCCCCAGGTGCCTCTGTCTCTTCCCCCTTCCCCCCACCCCACATTTCCCCTGCCGTTGTTCATCCCACCCTTTTGCAGCTGCAAGCGAAGGCCCAATTTCGCCCACCTCATGCCACTTGCCTTCCTTCCCCCTCCCTCCCCTCTCCTCCTCCCTCCTCCCCTTCCCTCCCTCAAACCTCTCCCGCCACCCCCCAGCTCGCGGGTGTGTGCGCTGCCAGCGGAGTGCCCTGAGTGTGCGCTCACACTCGTGTCCTCGCCACACCTCGCCCGCTCCTACCACCACCTCTTCCCCGTGCCGCCCTTCTCCGAGGTCCCTCTGCCGTCTGCTCCTAATCGACCTGCTGGGTCGTCAGCCCCTGCCGCCCCGCACAGCGACCTGCCACCCGCCTGCTTCAGCTGCACTGCCGCGCTGCCTTTCATCGGTGAGCACTGCCTTTCCTCGCTGAGCATGCGCTGGTAACGCGCTGGTAGGCCAGGCACTGCTGCGCGGTGGAATAAGGTCCGTGGTTGCGGGTCAGTCTCTGCCTTTCCAAGCCCCACAGCATCCCTGCATTCCGGCTGGCGTTCACCTTGTGTCTGCCCGACGTTGCTGCCATTTCCTCTTCTGACTGATGTTCCACTCCACCTGCCATTCCTCTTCTTGCTGCTGGCTGCCTGCTGGCTGCATGCTGTGCCGATGTGGGCAGAGACGGAGGGAGGGGGAGTGCGGGTGGAGTGCCCCACATGTGCGCGGCACTTCTGCTTCAACTGCGACGTCTTCATCCATGAGATCCTGCACAACTGCCCCGGCTGTGAGGCCACCCGCCTGCCACAACTGCCGTAGCCAACCACGGGGGCAAGGGGGGGAGAGGGGGGATAAGGTTTCGGCTGTGTATCGACACAATGGCACCAAGCTGTGTATCGACACAATGGCCCCAAGCTGTGTATCGACACAATGGCACCAAGCTGTGTATCGACACAATGGCACCAAGCTGTGTATCGACACAATGGCACCAAGCTGTGTATCGACACAATAGCACTACTCATCGTCGTGTTCCATCATGCTGCACTGCTCTCCTCTCCACACTTCTCTCCCAATAGCCTCAATCTCAACCCCCTGCCTCCACCGTTCCCCCATCCCGCATGCACGGGCACTGCTGGGGTATGATGCCTACATCATGCTTGCCAAAATAATCTTACAACAGCAGTGGGTTGGGCACTACCCATGCCGACCTTCTCATTGCATTTGAGTTGGAACCTTCGCATTGACGTGCCAAAGTCGGGTAATAGCTGGCTCTTATTCTGCTACTGGTACATCGTACCATACCACAGAATGCATATTGCAGAATGGTGGAACACAAGGTGGTACGGTTCAATTGATAGTTAAGACCAAATCATACAGTAAGTACAGCTCACTGAAAAACACTGACTAATAACTTTACTATAATAACGTATGTTACAAAGCCTTCCACCGAAGGGTGTGTGACGCTGGCTGGTTTCCTCATTGGTTCTGTGGAAAAGGCAGCAGTGCCGGAGGGCATGATGCTAAGCATGGTGGGCCCGAGAATGGAGTGCTGCTACGCCCGCCTCACGCATCATCCCCTTGGCTGATGCACCTCAAAGCGCATCATCCCCTTGGCTGATGCACCTCAAAGCGCATCATCCCCTTGGCTGATGCACCTCAAAGCGCATCATCCCCTTGGCTGATGCACCTCAAAGCGCTGACCTCGGAAGGAAAGAGGGGAGGAACAGGATAGAAAGACACAAGAGGCATTGCATGTGGTGACCCAACAGGGCAGGGAGGAGCGAGGTGCTAGGGAAACAAACTTGGCTGGTCGGATCAGAGCGCATGAAAGGCATCGCTCTCTGAAACAAGCTTGGCTGGTCGGATCAGAGCGCATGAAAGGCATCGCTCTCTGAAACAAAGCCCCCCTCCGGGAAAGCCAAAGGGAACCAAGAGGCGAAAGGTGGTTATGGAGGAACAAATTTTGCTGCCCATTCAAGACTTGAGGTTACCGGCCAGGGCACACACACTTGAAAAGACGTGACGAGGATGCGAGGGAACGAACACGGCATCCACACTCTAGGAGGCTCGAGTCTCGGGCACTCATGTTTGGGTTTTACTCCCACACGGTGTCACTCGCACTGACTGATGAAGCGCCACTCACCACGGCACTGCATTGCAGCGGCGTCAAAGACTTGGGACGTGGGGCACACACACTCCTTCTTGCCGTCCACCAACGCGCACATGGCTGTCCCGCAGCGCTCGCAGCCTTCAGCACAAGTACAGGGCGTTTGTGGTGGCAGGAGGCGGGACAAACATGGGGAGGAGGAGAGAGAAGAATGATGCAACGAGGTGTGTGTTTCGCTCGCAGGAAGCATGGCCTCACAGTAACCAAGCAGTCAGTCATTTGAAACAGGGCGATAGTGTGCGTGCAATTGAGCACCCAATAGACCTTTGCAAGAGCACAGCAACGGATTGGTGTCTCACACCACCACAAACCAAACCAAACCGCACCAAACCACACCAAACCACAATGCACCGCACCATGCGACAACCTGTGGGATGTCACAGCTGTGAAGCACGGTGCAGAGTGGTGCAGTCGACGAGACGTATGAACTGCCCCCTCACCATAATGGGCAAGCGTGTCATACCGTGCAAGTGAGTGCAATCTTACCCGTCCAGCATTTCATCGACGCTGGCAAGTCCTTGCCTGTCGCGAGGGTCCTGCGAGCAGCAGCAGCGAGGGGGGCACGGGAGCAGAAGCCGATCAGAAGGCCAGCAGCGGCGAGGGGGGCACGGGAGCAGAAGCCGATCATAAGGCCAGCAGCAGCGAGGGGGGCACGGGAGCAGAAGCCGATCAGAAGGCCAGCAGCAGCGAGGGGGGCACGGGAGCAGAAGCCGATCAGAAGGCCAGCAGCAGCGAGGGGGGCACGGGAGCAGAAGCCGATCAGAAGGCCAGCAGCAGCGAGGGGGGCACGGGAGCAGAAGCTGATCAGAAGGCCAGCAGCAGCGAGGGGGGCACGGGAGCAGAAGCCGATCAGAAGGCCAGCAGCAGCGAGGGGGGCACGGGAGCAGAAGCCGATCAGAAGGCCAGCAGCAGCGAGGGGGGCACGGGAGCAGAAGCCGATCAGAAGGCCAGCAGCAGCGAGGGGGGCACGGGAGGCAGAGAAGGGATCAGACGTGCGACACGTGGAAGTAGGAGAGGTCCACACATCCGATTCAACTTTGCAAACGCCCGCAAAGAAAAGTTTCACCGTTGTGCGGCACATGGCACATGCGCGCTCACCAGTTGGTGAAGGACTTCGAGGTGATGGGCTGAGGGCGCTGGTACGTCACGTAAGAATCCCCCTTGCAGTCCGTGACGGGGTGGAAGGCGATGCTGCTGCACTTGAGATTTAGCTGGTTGACGTTCGCCACGTTGCCCCACTGGATGCTCGCGTTGATTGGGGTTAACGTGTCGTACCGCCACGCGACATTTTTGCACGGACTATTGTAGAAAAAAAAGCGAGCGGAGTCAGTCAATGCCTTCCCCTGGAATTTTATAATCGTGTCGTACTGCGTCGAGGCGCTAGTTTCCGCGACGAGTGCGAGAGACACGAGGCCAGCAAGGACCGCGGCGAGGCCAGCTTGAAGGGCGGAACGCGGGCCGCCGTGCGCCATGGCGACGAGAGACGGGGTGGTTGGCGAGAGGAAGGTGAGGCTGCGCTGTCGGAAAGTGAAGGGATAAGTGAGGGAAAAGGGAGGAGGGAAGCTCGTGTGGAATGGCGAGACATGGTGAACGCTGGGTAGAGGGCATTTATGTAGTGGGAATGCGGCTGGCGCGGCGACGATGCTAACCAAGGAGGGACGAGAATGGGAGGGCACGACCCCACGGCGGATTTATTAACGGACAATGATGATTGGACGAAGCCGCTTCTTGCGGGTACTACCCAATGCTACTCGGCTATTGGGCGACTACTATGCGGTGGACTAGGATGGAGGGAGAAGCATAATGCGGAAAATAATTCGAAAAGCCCTGACTTCAAGAGAGGTTTTGCACGGTATATTAGCGTTGTACACTGTTGCAGTCTGTTATAGTAGGTTTCGGAGGCGGTGGCGTTGGTCATCGCACCCTTGACAGCAGGAACTGGGGGGGGGGAACGCTTGACCGTGATCGCGCTACTGGGTGGTTGGCGAGTTGACATATCTGTAACAGAAACAAGTGTATCCAAATCCAATACACTGGGCATCTAAGGATTGTGATGTATGCATGAAGAGACCATTTACCGGTATAAGATGGGGAAAAAAAAACTCGCAATCTAAGCTCTTGTTAGAAACATTTCCTTTTTATAAATCAGATCTCTTCCTACTTGCCTGCCACAATCCTAATGCTCGTCCTCATCCCCCCTAGTAGCGGGCCATACGGCATTTGTGCAAGCAACATGCGTATACATTCCAAGAGAAGCTGAAGTGGTATTTCCATACTCGAGAGTCTGATGCGTCACAGAGCAGCCCATTACATAGAGAACGAGGAAATACGACTTGACTTCTGGAGCTTGGCCTTGCAAGCATATTTACGGTCACTGTCATACCACACCGTGCCACCACATGTTGTAGGAAGCATACTCCTGTGTAATGCTGCGTGAGCAAAAGGACCAGCTCTGTTCTGTTGCCTTGTCAGCAAAATTCTATTATGGTCGTGTAAGGTCATGAAAGAACTCCATCTCTCTCTCCCACTCTCCCAATGTCTCTCACTCTCTCTCTCTCACTCACTCTCTCTGTCACTCTCTCGCTCCAGCAGGTCGTCCAGCCGCTTCCTCACATCCTCGCCCATTTCTCGCCGCCTCTCTGCCAGCCGCTGCTGCTTCTGCTCGTCCCTCTTGCTCACCCGTGACGACCGCCGCGGCTCCGACGTAGCAGCAGTGGGGTGAGGGCGATGCGCGGGGTGAGAAGAGAGAGGAGGGTGCAAGGGGTGAGGGGGGTGAGAGGGGTGATCACTGGGTACATGTGACTGTACAGGGTGTGACACGTGCACAGGCGCAGGTGATTGAAGGGAGAGCGACTGCATGCCAAAGGATACAAGCGAAGGGGACTGAAATTCACGAGGTGACAAGAGCAGCTGCGACCCTCCCTGTGAGCGCACTCGCTTTCCCTTTTCCTGCATCTCCCTCAGCTCCCTCTCCCTCAACTGCTGCTGCTGTAACTGTTGCACCTTTCTCCGCCTGGCAATACCTCCCGCTGCCATGCCTTTGCCCTGCTTCTCACGTCTCCACCTCTCCTTTGGACTTGTCACATGCCTCCCTTCCTCCCTGCCGCTCCTACCCTCTGCCTCCCTCCCTTCCACCACCCTACACCTCCTGTCGTCCCCCACTCTCCGTTCATCCCTCGAAGATTCGGAGTCAGAGCTGCAGCTGCTGCCGTGCTCTCCTCTGCTCTCTTGGCTCGCCACTGCCTCCTCACTCTCCTCACGCTCCCCACGCCCCGCGCGCCCATCACTACTACTACTACTGCTGCTGAGGGTAATCGCATGTGTGCTTGCCACCTCCACCACATCTCCACTTGTCTTCGCCTCCCCTTCTCCCCGCCCCTCCTCCCCTTCTCCCCGCCCCTCCTCTCCTCCCCGTCCTTCCTCCCCTCCCTGCGCCTCCTCCCCTTGGCACACGGCCTGCCTTGCCCCATGTGCCCCTGCCTGCATGCGCTGCACGGATGCCCGTTCAGCATGGTGGCATTTCCGCTGCTCCATCGCCCTCACCTCCCTGTGCTTCGCCTGCCCATTGTAAGCCCCACTCTGAACCACAAACGTGCTCTCCTTGCCACCCTCCACCCACCCTCTTTTCACTCCTCTCATCCCTTTCTTCTCTCCCTTCTCTCCCTCCTTTCTTTGCCCTCCCTCTTCTCCCTCCTCTCGCTCCTCTCCCTCCTCTCCCTTCTCACCCTCCTCTTGCTCTTCTCCCTCGTCTCCCTCCTCTCTCTCCTCTCCCATCTCCTCCTCGCTCTCCTCTTCCCTCCACTCATCCCGTCCCCCCAGCTCCTCATCATCCTCTGCTTCTTCCTCCTCCTCTTGGGCACTTTCCCCTCTCTCCCCTTTCTCTGACACCACTTCTTTAACCTCCTCCTCTTCCTCACCCTCTCTCACTTCACCTTCCTCGTCCTCCGATTCCTCCCCCACACTCGTTCCACTCACCCCATCCACCACACCCACATCACACCCCCCCTCTCCTGCGCCCATGCAACCTACTCCCTTCCCAAGCTGCCCGGCCAAGCGAGTCGGCGCCCCCTTCCTCTCTGCTGCATCCACCCCCCTCACTATGGCCCCCGCATCCGCCCTCTCCCACTCTCCACCCTTCCATCCCTGCCCCTGCCCTGTTATTCCCTCAACCTCCTTTCCCTCTTCCTCCACTTCTATCTCATCCTCCCCTTCTTCATAAAAAATCTCAGCACCTGTCCCCTCCCTCACTCCATCCTCCCTCCTCCCCTTGCAGCCCACCACATCGCAATCCTCATCTAACTCCTTCCCAGCAGTGCGCCCACCCATCCCCCCACTCATACCCACGCCAACTATTTCCACGTCTTCATCGCCCTCCTGCATTCTACCCCGCCTCCTTGCTCGTCCTCCTGCCCGCCCCACTCCCTTCGGAACCTCAATCCTTCCTCCCTTACGCCTTGCCTCTCTGCTGCCCTTCCCATCCTCCCCATCGTGCCCCTCTTTCCTCACGAATCTTGTTCCCCTAGGTTCCCCCCGTGCCCTAGGTACCCCTTCACCTCCCTTAGGTACCTTAGCTGGCTCAGTTGCCCCTGGCGCCCCAGGTGCTTCAGGTACTTCAGGTGCCCCAGGTGCTTCAGGTGCTTCAGGTGGCCCCAGGTGCTTCAGGTGCTTCAGGTGCCCCAGGTGCTTCGAATGGCCCTTGGCGCCTCCCTCGATCTTCGGCCCCCTCTACCCTCTTCTGTGTGTGGGTGGGTGTGTGGGTGGGTGTGTGGGTGGGTGCACTCGCAACCCCTTTCTGCAGTGAGGACAGCAGCCCAGTCGCAGAGTCCAAGCCACTGCGCAAGTCCAGATCGCCCCACATGTCCCTCGCACCCTGCCGGTCCCTACCACCGACCCCCTTCCGCTTCCCCCTCCGCTCCTCCCTCCCCCTCTCCTTCCCCTCCTCCTTCCCTACCACCTTCCCTTTCTCCTTCCCCGCCTTCTCCTCCTGCTCTTCTTCCTCCTCCTCCTGCTCCTTCCCCTCCTCTTTCTCCTGCTCCTCCTCATTTCCCTCCTCCTGCTCCTCCTCTTCCTCCTGCTCCTCCTCCTCCTTCCCCTCCTCCTGCTCCTCCCACTCCTCCTCCGCCTGCTCCTCAGGAGAGTCACTGATGCAAACTACAGACGCATCATCCCACTTACCGCCCTCACTGCTCCCACACACCCCTCCACCCCCTCGCCCGCCCTCACTTTCCCCATCACCCTCTTCCCCTCCCTCTCCCCCCTCCACCCCATCGCCCTTATCAGCTGCACTATGTGCCAGCCGTGAGTCAGTGCCGCAAGCTGCACCTGCCATACCCTCCTCCTCTTCCCTCTTTTCTCCCTCCTCTTCCCTCTTTTCTCTCTCCTCTTCCCGTTGCTTCTTTCCCTCTGGTTCCTCTTCCTCCCTTCCTGCTTCATCTGCCTCTTGATTAATCTTCAACCGTTTCCCTTTTCTCCTTCTTTCTCTCGTCCCTTCTTTTGTCCCTTCTCTCGCCCCTTCTGTCGTCCCTTCTCTTGTCCCTTCTCTCGTCCTTTCTCTTGTCCCTTCTCTCCTCCCTTCTCTCCTCCCTTCTCTCCTCCCTTCTCTCATCCCTTCTTTCATCCCTTCTCTCCTACCTCCCCGTCTGACGGTAGCAGCAGCTTCAGCATTGCTACTTGCTCCCTTTGCTGCGGCCGCACCTGTAGCGGCACCTGAAGCGGTGCCTGAATCAGCATGCTGCTGATCCCTACCACCAATCCCCTTTGCCTTCGCCCCCTTCCCCTCCTCCTCCTCCTCCTCCTCCTCCTCCTCCTCTTCCTCCTCCTCCTCCTCCTCCTCCTCCTCCTCCTCCTCCTCCTCCTCCTCCTCCTCCTCCTCCTCCTCCTCCTCCTCCTCCTCCTCCTCCTCCTCCTCCTCCAACTCCCCCCCCTCCTTCTCCTCGTCCTCCTCCTCCTCCTCCTCCAACTCCCCCCCCTCCTTCTCCTCGTCCTCCTCCTCCTCTTGACCCCTCCCCTCCTCTTGCTCCCCCTCTCCCTCCTCTTCCTCCTCCTCTCCCTCCTCCTCTCCCTCTCCCCCCTCCTCGTCCGCCTGCTCCTCAGGAGAGTCGCTGATGCAAACCACAGACGCATCATCCCACTTACCGCCCTCACTGCTCCCACACACCCCTCCACCCCCTTGCCCGCCCTTACTTTCCCCATCACCCTCTTCCCCTCCCTCTCCCCCATCGTCCTTATCAGCTCCACCTAGCGGCGAGTCACTGTTGCAAACTGCACCTGCTACACCCTCCTCCTCTTCCCTCTGTTCTCTCTCCTCTTCCCATTGCTTCTTTCCCTCGGGTTCCTCTTCCTCCCTTCCTGCTTCATCTGCCCCTTGATCAATCTTCAACCGTTTTCCTTCTCTCCTACCTCTTGCCCCTTCTCTCGTCCCGTCTCTCATCTCTTCTCCTGCTCTGTCTCCCCTCTCTTCTTTCCTCTCTTCTCTCATCTCTTCTCTCGTCCCTTCTCCCCTTTGTTCTCTTGTCCGTTCTCTCATCCCTTCTCTTATCCGTTCTCTCGTCACTGCTTCGGCATTGCCACTTGCTCCTTTTGCTGCGGCTGCACCTGAAGCAGCACCTGTAGCAGCACCTGTAGCAGCACCTATAGCAGCATGTCTTATTGCATCCATGGGTGCATCCGGGGCAACAAGCCTAATCACTTCGACCGTTGCGTCTCTAAAGGCATGCCTAACACCAGCTGCTGCAGCTGCAGCTGTAGCAGCAACCTGCGAGCCCTCAGCAGCACTCGTGGCAGCCACACCACCGCCACATGCCTTGCCACCCCGACCATGCTTCCTTGCTACAGCAACACGACCGTTGCTAGCAGCAGCGTGCTCGCCCCCCAGCCCACCACGCCGCGTGTAAGCAATAGCACCGGTGCTACCAGCAATCACACCGCTGCCACCACACGCCTTGCTAGCAGCAGCACCGTTACCACCTTTGCCATCGTCACTAGCAGCCGCAGCAGTAGCAACCACACCAGCACCACCACATGCCTTCCCACCCTCACCAGGCTTCCTTGCTACAGCAGCATGTTCGTCCCCCAGCCCGCCACGCCGCTTGTAAGCAGTAACACCGGTGCCACCACACGCCTTGCTAGCAGCAAAGCCATTACCACCATTGCCATCGTCAGCAGCAGCAGTGGCAGCCGAAGCAGCGGCAACAGGAGGAGGCGGAGGAGGAAGAGCAGCAGCAGCGTCATCATCATCGTCGGGTGAATCACTCATCAACACATAACGTGCCAGCTCATGCCCTTCACGTGCCAGCTCATGCCCTTCACGTGCCAGCACATGCCCTTCACATGCCAGCTCATGCTCCCCACATGCCACCTCATGCCCTGCATTAACTCGAACCTTAGACAACTCCTTACATCTGCCGCTTTCTCCCTGCGCCTCGCCTGTCACTTGCTGTCCTCCCTCCTCCCCCATCTCCTCCTCTCTGCTGTGTCCCCTTGGGACCCGCTCCTGCTCGCCATCCCTCAACCCCACCTCTTCCATACGCCCCTCCTCCTTCACTTCCTCCCCTTCTCCACATACATCTCGTACGCTCCTCCCCACTTCCTTCACTTCTCTTTCCTCTACAATGCCCACCTCTTCCACCTCTGCGTTACTCACTTCCTTCACACACCTCATCTGTTTGCCCCCCTTCCCCTCCTCCATCTTCTCTCCCATTCGAACCCCTTCCACCTTCCTCCTTCCCTCCCCCCACTGACCGTCGCCTCTCCTCCCTGCCTCCCCCTCACTTCTCAAGTTCCCTTTCTCTTCCACTGCCGCCTCCTTTTCCGTCCTCCCCGCCTTCCTCTGACTCTTCTCCTCCATCCCCTCTTCATTCTTCTCTTCTTTCTGTTTCACCATCCTCTCCCCTCCCTTCCCTCCTTTCTCCTCCTCCCCTCCCTTTCTTCCTTTCTCCTGCTCCCCTCCCTTCCCTCCTTCCTCCTCCTCCTCTCCCTTCCCTCCTTTAGTCTCTATTCGTCCCTTTCCCCTATTCTCCTCCTCCCCTCCCTTCCCTCCTTTCTCCACCTCCCGTCCTTTCCCTCCTTCTCCCTCCTCCCCTCCCTTTCCTCCTTTTCCCTCCTCCCCTCCCTTCCCTCCTATTTCCTCCACTCCTCCCTTCCCTCCTTTCTCCACCTCTCCTCCCTTCCCTCCTCTCCCCTCCTCCAATGCCTCCTCCAATTCCTCCGCCATAGCCTCCTCCATATCAACCTCATCCAGCAAGTCAGACAACCAGCTCCGAGAAACATGTCCTCTATGCCCATCCCTCTCTTCTTTCCCACCCCCATCCGCCCACCCCTTGCCGCCATTCCCCGCGGGTCCCACCCGGCCCCTCTTCCCCACTGCCGCTGTCACCTCCACCACATCCCCCTCCTCCCTCTCCTCCTCCTTCCCGCCCTCCTCTAACACAGTGTGCAGGAGCCTCTCCCTCTTCCCACCAACCCTGCTCTGCTTCAAAGGGCCTCCGTTGTCAGGCAGCGCAATGACCGACGGGTTTCCTTCCTGGCTCGACATGATGGCATGCAAGCTGCGACTTCGAGTCACGCGCCTATTCTGCTCCTGCTGCTGCTCCTGGCCCTTATCGTGTGTTCCCTTTTTCTGCCCCTCTGCCCGTCCTGCCACACTCCCATCCGCACCCTCCCCTCTCCCCCCTTCTCCCTCCACACTGCGGATCTCCTTCGCCAACAGCCCTACCATCCCTCCCACTCGACCCACCCCAAGCCCCCTCCCCTCGTTGTCCCTTCCTTCCCTCTCCCCCTCCTCCTTCTCCTCCTCCCTTCCATCCCTTTGCATCTCCCTCCCCTCCTCCCTCCCACCCTGCTTCTCCCGCCCCACCACAGCCTCCTCTCGTTGCGGTTCGCGCCCCACCAGCTCCCCCAGCCCGGCTCGCAGCAGCACCGTGCGCCGGATGGCGGCCCGCATGGGCTTCGCTGAGTCGGGCGTCAGCCAGGGGAAGGACAGCTGGGTGGGAGGAGGGAGGGGGGGAGGTGTAAGGGAGGGGAACGAAGGAGAATAGAGAACGGAGAAACAAAGAGAGGAGGAGAGGGGGAAGAACGTGAAACAGCAGCCGCAGCAGCGATGCTCATCCTAGGCATGTGCAACAAGAAAAGTAAAAAACTCGCCTTGTTTTTGTTACTCGTTTCGGGCGGGTAACGAGTCGGTAGTTTCAAAGATTTTACTTGCACGAGTCGAGGCGAGTTACGAGTAATACATCCACTGGAAAATAAAAAAATGAATTTTGAAATTGCGGGTAAAAAATGGCACGACTTGCAAGTGACACATCTGCGCTCTCAAAACTCATTGTCTGCAAGCACATTAACAGGGTGCAGAAAGTGTTGCTAAGAAATGGCCCCACCATTGCTTGGGCGAAGCCGACTTCGCGATCGGGTGCGCGGGAGGTACAGTCGGCTGCTGTCAGTGGTCAACGCCAACTTTGGAGAGGAAGTCGACAGACTTGGTCGACTTCCGCCGCACCACTGTGAAGCCGCCGATAAGGTGATTCGTCTAGGATGGTTGACGAGGATGTTCGTCGGCCTGAGGGCACCGACCTGAGGGCACCGTCCTGAGGACGCCGGGGAGACATTACCTGGTTGACGTGGTGACTGGGTCGACGAAGCTCTGCGAGAGTGCGCAGACGTCGCCCAGGACTTTTTGGCAAGTCGACCTGCAGGCCGGTATCCCGAGGTCGACGCGGCACAACTGGCGCAACGTCAGCACGTGGCGGACTTGGCACATGACATGCTTAACCGTCGATCTGCACCTGCGAAGTGGGTTCGCGCATGTGCGCTATTGCCACCTGGCAAGCCGCTGTGCAGCGCTGGCAGGTTGCCGACTTGCACCATTGGCAAGCCGCCTCCCATCTGTGCTGGCATGGTGTCGTCTTGCAGTGCTGGCAGGCCGCCCCTGTGCTGCGCTGGAGGTCGACCTGCCTTGCTAGGTCCCTGATGTAGTCATTGTTGCCACTGTCTTTTGCATCATTGTTCTCAAATTTTCTAGTGAAACTCCTACCAATTTACCCTGTGAACACGCAAGTGCTAGAGAACAGCTAGAGAAAGCACCTGTGTCTTCCCACGTAGTCCAACTCCCGGTGTAAAGTGACTCTCTGCAGAAAGCACATCATGCGCACTCACCACTTGCTTGCACTGGTCGCAGGCAGGCGCGCAACAGACTGTGAGTGGCATGTGGGAGAGCAGCTCCTGTGCGTAGAGCAATAGGAAAACCCCGCAGTCACTCAGATTCGGCTGTTGGGGGACCTGTGCATGGGAAGGGAAAGCAATAAGGAGAGGCAAAACGCGCACAAATCAATTGATAGACATGAGTGAATTACGAACTCGAACCCGTTTAAGCTTCCTTTTTCAAGGTTTGAGTCGAACCTTCAGCACTTCGATAAGACTAGGGGGCAAATAAGTAACAAAAGGTCCAGACCCGGACCACTACACTACATGCTTACGTAACAATAGAATTTCTAGTCAGCCCACTGCACTTCGGATTTTTGCTCCTACCTGCCAGTGTAGCGCTGTGAGGTGAAATACTTGTGCTGCTTCTTTAGAGCTTCGTATCTGCTTAGTGACAAGGTAGGAAGGACAAGGTACAATTTGGAAAAAGTCTCCTGGCATTACCTTGGGGCGAAACACAGGCAGGCGGATGAAGGCTTTTCTCAGCGCTGGTGTGACAAGCACCTTGTGGCGCACGAGGTACTCCTCCTGTAGGTACCTGGTGGTGGCGATGGGTATGGGTGGCATGCATGGTGTGGTGGAGTGGCATGGTTAGGGCAGTGCAGGGAATGAGAGGAATGAGTCAAGTCACCTCTGCTCATTGCCTATCAGTGCACAAAGCCATGCACGCACCCACTATAACTAGGCATGATCATTAGGCCCGACCCGACCCGACCCGACCCGGCCCGACCCGACTTGGGCGGGCCAGCCGGGTTCCGGGTCGGGTCGGGTTGGGTCGGAACTTCAAAAAATCCTGGCCCGACCCGGGTATCGGGTGCCGGGTCAGGCGTGACCCGCCCCCGGGTCGGGTCAGGTAGGGGCCGGGTCGGGTCAGGTCGGGCCAGGACCCCATATGCAGGGTAAGAGGTTTTCCTTACTACTGTGCGGTGTTGCACTGATTGAATATTTGTGTAATATTATTATATGAACGTCCTCCATTTTGTAACTAGACTATGGGGGGTCGCGTCACTATCGATGCGGGCCTGGTAGGCGCGCAGGGGGCGATTAGAACGCGGGACCAGAGTTTAGTCGCTTGTGAGAGCTAAGAATAACTATTTCTATAGAATCGAATATCTCTGCCTGGTCGCGCTAGGTTAAAAAGACCCTTACGCCAACATGGAAACACTAGTAATAGTGTTCCTTAACATGGGCGCGGGTTTAGAGAGTAGTAGAGCTTGAGAACGATTGCTTGCTAGCTGCCTAGGTATTGCAGATCGAAGTCAATGTCGAGGGAACAAACAAACCCTAGACATTGACTTCGCGATCTGCTTAAGTGCAAATTGTCGAGGGAGGAAAAGTCGGGTCGGGCCAAATACTCGACCCGACTTAGGGCGCGGTACCCGAAACCGGGTCGGGTACGACTTCGGGTCTAAATCTGACCCGACCCGACCCGACCCGACCCGACCCGGTTTCGGGTGTCGGGTCGACCCGACCCGACCGGGTAAACCCGACCCGACCCGGCCGGGCCAGCGCTTCAAAATGCCTGACCCGACCCGGGTCAAAAGGGTCGGGTCGACCCGACCCGCCGGGGCAGGATGATCATGCCTAACTATAACCCTCCCCAACCCCTGTCACTCATCATCCTCTCTTCCTTTGCTCGCCGCCGATCCTCCTTTCCTTGAACGCCCCACATCCTTGCACACCCCACATCCCAACAGTGGAACGTGCAGATACAGCAGTGGCAACAAGCAGAGAGTAGAAGTGCATAGCAGAATGCTCAGATCAGGCGGACTAGCCCTGCAATCCTCGCTCCTCCCCAATCTAACCAACTCTTCCTCCTCCCCACTTCCCTGCTCCAGCCCGGCCGCCCACACAACCCTTCCCCCACTTGACAACTCTACCTTCACCCCACCACCCCACAACCTGACTCACGGCTGCACAGCTTCCTCCACGTCCAGGTGTAGCCCCATCCCACAACCATTCCCCAACCCAACAACTATTCTGTCATGTCACCCCACAACCGTGCCCCCGCAACCGTGTCTCCGCAACCGTGCCCCCACAACTGTGCCCCCGCAACCGTGCCCAACTCACGTGCGCACGGCCTCCTCCACATCCAGGTGCAGCCCGGGTAGCGAGTCAAAATGCAGAATGCATGGCATTGCCTCGTGGCCGGGGGGTGTGGGAGCAGCAGCCTCGTGCACAGAGGTTGCAGCAGGGCCAGGGTGGTGAGACGAGGATGTGGGAGGTGGATCATGGGGCGGAGATGGAAAAGGCTCATCGGTAGGCGATGAGGAAGCAGGGGCAACAGAGGCTGGCTGGGGAGAAACAGGAGGCTTGGGCGATGCTGGGGGATGGGGAGGAGGAGGGAAGGGGCTGGTGAGTGGAGGGTAGGGGCTGGTGGAAGTGACAGGATTGGGGGTGGCATGAGAAGGGTTGGGGCTGGCAGGGGTCGACTGGGAAATGGCGGATGGGAGTGGGCGGTCTGAAGTATCGTGTGAGGGTGTGGTTTGACGCGGTTTAGGGCGGTGAGGAGAGGCAGGGAGAGCTTGGGGTGAAAGTGGCAGGCTCTGTGTGGAGATGTATTCTTGCAGAGGGGAATCGTCAAACGTGGACGCTTCTAGAGCGGAAGTTGATAAAGGGGCTGCAAGGGGGGATGGGGATGGGGGTCGATGTGATGGCGATGGTGGGTGTACTGGCTGGGTGATTGTTGACGGTGGAGGGTGCGGCTGCATTGTTGCTGCGGCTGCTGCTGCTGATCCCACAACACCTGCTACAGATGCTGCGGCGGATGTTGAGGCTTGTACTGGTGCTGCTGCCACAGGCAACAGAGGTGCTGCTGGCTGTGGCTCTGACTCAGGTCTCAATGGTTTCCGCTGTGGTGCTGCTGATTCTGCTGCTGTTGATGTCGGTGGTGTAAGTGGAAGAATCTTGTTGGGATGGCAGATGACCAGCAGACTCCAGTGGTAGCTGCAAGGGAGAATGGCACGGGCAAGATAGCGTGGAAACTTATGAATTGTGCAAGGCAAAACAAAACATCTCGTTCTGCATGGTTTGCTTTGCTGTGCACAACAGCATGTATGGCTGAGAGATTACAGGTGTAGCCCCACATAATGCATGATTCATCACTGCGTCTAAAAATAGGGGCGAAACAAAGAGGCTCAAGAACGACCCACCTGAGGCCCACAGGAGACCAGAGAACACACACACGTATGACAGAGAAAGGGCTTACCTGAGGTTGACAGGGATGAAGACGAAATCACAGGCGAAAAGGTTGACCCCCTTGGTCCACTTGCGCACCCGCCAGTGCGCCGCCTTCCCCTCCTCCTCCCCCCCTCTACCCCTCCTTGCTGCCTCCACCGCTGCAGCGGCAGCATCGGCAGCAGCACGTGTGGCGGCAGCAGCAGAGGCATGGGTGGAAAGAAAGGGGTCGTCCTTCTCCCCACCGATAAGCATCTTGAAAAAGAAGCTGTTGAAGAAATGCACTGAGGGAGGGGGCTCCCGTGCCCCACCTGCCTTGGTGCCAGCAGTGGTGGTGCTGCCGGGCTTCTCTCGTGCCGCCGCTGGTACCTCCTTGCTTCCATCCCTGCCTGCGCCCACACCACTGCTGCTCCCCTCACCTGCTGCCGCGGCTGCTGCTGCTGCTGCTGGCGGCGGTGGTGGAGGCAGTGCTTGGTCGGGTGCAGCAAGGGAGCAGGCGATGCGGCGCTGCTCCATGGCCTGCACCTTCAGATGCCTGCGGTAGGCAGAGGCGGGGAGGCAGAAGGGTGGAAATCAGCCGCAGAGGAGGGTGAAGAATGTGAAAACACTAGCTGTTCTTCATAAGGGCAAGATACAGGTCAAAAAACAAAGGAACGACCCGGGTTATAAACGAGCCGGTTTGACCTAGATTCGGCCGTCTGCTATTGCCTGTTTCAGAGAGTGCCACTCACAGCTGCGATGAGCTCTCCTTTCATATCCTACCCTACAGTCTCGCCTCATCCCAACAACTCACCTCCAGGAAGAGCCAATGATTTGCCTCACATGTCACCATTCGAGGCATTCACTTAAGGAAGGAGTCAATGAGGGTGTCGTTGAGGCACTCCTCTGGTCTGAGCGCCTCAACAACACCCTCATTGACTTCTTCCTTAAATGAATGCCTCGAATGGTGACATTTGAGGCAATTCATTGGCGTCAGCCATTCCACATCCTCTCACTGCACCATCACACTGTCCGTGCCCGTCGCCGTGGAGTCGAACGCCTCGACCTTTGAGTCGACTCAAGTGTCAACGTGAGAGGCATTCTTTCGAGGAAAAAATCAATGAGGGTTTCATCAAGAAACTCTTCTGACCTAAGCTTCTCTACGTCCTCCCAGCGCACACGTTGCACGTGCAGTGCACGTCACCTGCAACACACCTCAAGCACTGTCCGACCACCCCGCTCACTTGAGGAAGAAGTCAATGAGTGTGTCGTTGAGAAACTCCTCTGGCTTGAGTCGCTCCACATCTTCCTACTGCACCATCACACTGTCCGTGCCCACAAACGCCTCACCTTAGAGTCGACTCAAACGTGACTGCGAGAGGCACTCACTTGAGGAAAAAGTCAATAAGAGTATCGTTCAGAAACTCCTCTGGTTTCAGTCGTTCCACATCCTCCCACCGCACCGTCACGCTGTCCGTGCCCGTCGCCGGAAACACAAACGCCTCAAACTGCTGCCGACACTCCGCCAGCCACTTCCTCTGCGCTGCTGCCAGCAGCGCCGCTGCCCTCCTGCGGTTCTGCGCTGCACGGGTTGCAGCAGCAGCAGCGACGGGAGGAGCAACTGGAGAAGCAGCAGCAGTAGCACAAGCAGAAGCAGCTGGAGGATCACGAGGAGCAGGAGGAGCAGGAGGCGGGGGAGATGCGAGGGGCACGGAAGGTACAAGCGGCACAGGAGAGGACACAGGGGTGGAGAGCGATGCAGAGGGCGCAGCAGGGAGAGCAGAGGGTTGCTGTTTCCTCGCCCTGAACTCCTGCACACTCTGATCGATGGCAGCAGGTTCTGCCGTGCGCGCCAGCGCAACCCATGCTTGCAGAAACGCAGTGCGCTGCTCCCGCTCGGGCTGCTGGGGCTGCTGCTGCTTGCGCTGCTGGGGCTGCGGCTTGGGCTGCTGCTGCCGCATCTCTTCCCAGTTCCCCCATTCCTGCTGCGCGTCCTGCTTGGCCCGCTCCTTGTCCGTGCAACCTCCCTCCACCTCCCTTCCCTTACCACTCCCACGCCCACTGTGCTCTTTATCGCCCCCCTTCCTTCCATCTCTTCTCTCTCCATCCCTCACAACCCTTCTGACCTCCTCCTCTTCCCCTTCCTCCTCCACTTCCTCCTCCTCTTCCTCTTCCTCTTCCTCCTCTTCCCCTTCCTCTCCTTTCTCTTCTTCACCCTCCTCCACCACCTCCACCTCCACCACATCCTCCTCCCCGTCCTCCCCACTACTCCCATCCTCAGACGCCTCAGCACTGGAGGAAGGCACCACCTCCGCCACGCCAAACATCTCCAACAGCCCGCCGCTCTGCACGCGCCCACTCACACCGCGCCTGCTCGCCACTTGCATCCCACTCTCCTCCCCCCTCTTCATAAACAAATCGTCCTGCCCACTACCCTCTCTCTCCCCATCCCGTCTCTCTGCGCCCCCACTTCCTCCACCACCAACTCTCACAGAACCCCGTCTCACAACGCCTCCTCCTACCACAACACCCCCTCTCCTACCCACCTCTCTTCCACCCTTTCCCTCACAGACTTCGGCATTCCCTTCTCCACCCCTTTCAGCACCACCGATTCCCTGCCGTTGCCTCAGCCCTCCGGCTGGCGCACCTGCCAGCACATCCTCTCCAGTGGCCTCCCTCAACGACCCCCTGTCCGATATCGCCCCACCCGACAAGTCATCTCCACGTGCCCGTTCAGACCCGCCTCCACTGGTAACCCTATCACGCTTCCTGCCCAGAGTCTCGACTTCCGCCCCTTTCTGAGGCTTCTCAAGAACACTCTCCCGGGCTCCACCACGCCCATGTGCCTCGGGCTCATCTCTGGCCTGCCGCACTTGTTCCCGTCTGCCGCATCTCCCAACAGTGTCGCCCCCACCCTCTCTCCCTCCAGCTTCCCTCCCTCGCGGTGCTCTGCCTTCCAGCTCGCCTTTACCCAACGGCCTTTCTGCTGCTGCCTTTGCATTCGTTACACCCTTCAGCTTCGCCAACCCACCCAGGCCACCCCATCCATCTCTTCCACCTCTATCTCCTCTTTCACATCTGTCACTCGCACCTTCATCACCACCACCACCTCTCTCACCCCTACCACTTGTATCAGCAATGCCACGGGCTCTGCACACGGGGATTTTAACAGCAGCAGCAGCAGCAGCAGCAGCAGCAGCAGCAGCAGCAGCAGCAGGTATTCGACTTCCAGCACCCTCTGCACGAGCACGAGCACCACGAGTCCCCTCAGCAGCAGCAGCATCAGGTGCATGTGCATGTGCATGTGCATCCCCGCGTGTGTGCAAGGGTGCATCGCTCACTAGGCCCTGCCACAGTGCATCCAACCCCCCTTCGCTGCCATCCGTGTGGTCGCGCGCAGCTCCGGCCGACCGACGGCTCAGATCGCACTGCAGCGTGTCAGGATCAGCATCAACGGCCCCACGCTTTCGTGGCTCCCTTTGGTTGGCGAGAGAGTAAGAGGTGGCACCACCACCACCACCAACACGTTGCTGGCTGTTGCTGGTGCTGGTGGTGGCATGATGAGAAGGAGGTGCTTTGTTGTGAGGAGGAAGGAGGGCGGCGGCGCGGAGGGAAGGGACGTAATCTGCCGGCCGGCCCATGGGCTGACACCCACGGCCTTGCATCGTTGCCCGGATGCGCTGCGCTTGAAACCCCGACAAGGGTGGAAGCTTCTTTGAAGCTTCGCCTGTGTGTGGGACAATGAAGGAGAGGACGATGAGGGGAGGAGCGGGGCGAAAGATGGACATGGACTTGAACAGAAATGCTGTCATGAAATGATGCGAACCCAGGCTGGAAACTTGGGAGGGGGAAGAGACGGGAGAGAGTGGCGGAGAGAGGAAGATGTAGGGAGCCATGGAGGCGCGGCAGACAAAAGCCACGTTTCCAGACGCACCACAACAAGCTAACCCTTTCTCCCATCTCGGCCTTTCTTACCACTTTCCTCTCGGTCCCGCTTCGTTCCTCTCTTCGCATTCGCGCCTGCAGCACTGCATCCATTAGTAACGAGACTGCTTTTAGCGCGTCCCGCGCCTGATGCTACTTCCACGCACTCATCCTCCTCCTCCACCTCCTCTACCTCCTCTACCTCCTCGACCTTCCCCTTTCCCTTAGCCAACCGTCCTGGCGCTCGTCTTGCCGCTCTATCATTCCCCAACGGCTTCTCCACTCGCCTTGTCCTCAACGATCGCGTATCCTTCACGCCACCGCGCCATTCCACCACGTCAATCTCATCCTCGTCAACGCCATCCACGTTATTGTCATCCTCGTTATCGTCATCTTCGTCATCTAAGAGAATCACGTTGGTCGCTGCAGCTCGACGAGTCCCGCCGGCCATGTCACTAACGTATCTTCTCTCTCCTAGCACTCTTTCCGTGGGATCTTGCAACGCGCGACTGAAGGGGCGGCGAAAACACGGAAGACTGATAAAAGAACCCAATATCGATCCGTCACCCCACTGTAACTATGATGAGAAGGACTTGCGGTGAAGTGACGGAGCGTGCTTCGCCGCTTGCTGCTTGCTGCTTACGGCTAGAATAGGTCTGTACAGGGAGAAGCTACTAGTACAGGTTCAGCACTAGCGTGGTATGTATGTATGTATGGGTACGTTTGAGTTCTATCCCTGCTCACCAGCTAGGAGAGGACCTTCAAATTCGCAAACCGTGATGGCAACAGAGGCAAAAATGAATGACGTATTCGCGAAGGTCACGATGTGTTCAGACAGCAGAAATCGGACAGAATTCGTACAGCAGATGGCACGAAAAACCAGAGTTCAAGCGTCTATTTTTTCGGGACGAGTCACGTTCGTTTCCGGTCACAAACTGTCCCGCGATCGATATATACGATGTGAAAAAAGACGCACGACGGTGACGACGCTACGTCGGATCGGATACGATGTAGTACGACGGTCTCATTGCAAAACGTCGCATGATCCAAAACCCGAAATTCACGATGTTTATGCGATGTTACCGTGTGTGCTTTTAATCCTTAATTATTGCAGTCTATTACTTCTTTATGCTATATGTACCGCGCCTGCATCTCGAGTGGTCGTAAACGAGACAGTAGAGCGGAGTTCTCGAAGGGGTGATAAGGGCGTGGCTACATTTTGACTTTTGATGTTTCGAACCGCCGACGAATAGGGTTTCCCGTCTCGTTAAACCACGTTGTTAAATGAGAGGCTATGCGAGCATTGTCGAAATCAGGATACCGGTTTCGCTGACGGTTCGAATCGTCAAAAAACAAAATGGAGCCACGCCCTAAGTTGCGTCTGTGACCACCACCAGATTCGACGACCACGATTCTGAATGTACTAGCAACGAGGACATTCTGCGCGAGAGGCGGTCGACAATGCATTGTACGAGCCTCTGCCGTCAGAGAGTGCATAGACTAACACCACGCGCGATGCACGTGTGGTTACCACTTCTTCACTGGTCGCCTTTCGCCACGCTCTCACGTGCAAGCGATGGCTGCGCGTCGCCAGATCCGTACATCCAGCCATCGTCGTGCCTTACGATCGTTTGTTTTCATCGAAATGTCTCGCCTCGCTCCTCGTTTCACCCACCTCGGGATTCCCGAACCTTCGCTATTTGCACCTCAGCGAATTCGCGACGGACGTCGTATGTCGCCACCTCTGCGGTCCATCTACGACGGATGCGGCTCCTCCTTGACGCTGTCAGAGGTCCACTGGTGATCCCCGATTGATCCTAAGGAAGGGTTACAGGCACATTGGCCTGGGGGGTTATGGGCGCACTCACCCGCTACAGAAACAAGCCCTTTTATCCCAGTGGTTAGTGGCTGGGATTCTGACAGACGCATCTCACGATGCAGCTGTACGATCGACGGCTGGTGACGCGCGTTTAGGAAGGCGAAAGAAGAAACGCGGCACGGAACGGCGTTGCGGCAATATCGCAGACATGTGTCGACCGAATCTTCCAATTCCTGCACGCGATTGGTCAATCTGGATCTCCGGTTGGCGCACGGCGTTCCGGCGCTGCCTCCTTCCAATCAGCGGCATGCAACAACTCATGGGGCTCAGCATGGGATCAACTTCATCGCACATTTACCTTCATTCGCTAGGATGTTGCATTTCGTGTTCCTGCTGTTAGTGGTTTTGCGCTAACTTCCAGCAATCAATTAGGGAAATGTGCGAACAGTTTTCCCGCAATTTTTATTGCCCGCGAATTTGCATGACGGGACGTGACGCCGCCGGAGCGTGACGGGTGTCGCCTCGGGAGTAACGCCGCCGGGTCGCGTGATTCTAAGGTATAAGATTAGGTCGAGGTTGGCAATGCGTGCGTTGAGAGCGTCAATGCTGCTCGGGAGGGCGAAAATCTGCGCTTGAAGATGTGAAAGAATGAGGAATGATTGACTAGGAAATGAGTTGGGTACAAATATGCAACCCTAGGAAACTGTACCCCATATTGTCTACCCCACTACATCTTAGAAAGACTATAGCATAAATGTTTGACACACCCCCATAGGCAAAGTGGGGGAGAACAAGGGGTCACAAGACCAGTCAAGCAAGGCAAGCTCAGGGTGGATCACAATGTCACAACACATTCCGAGCACAAGTTCAAGGCCACAAGGCCAGTTCACATGCAGGATTATATATAAAGGTAAACAAGCAAGTGCACGTATAGATAGATCACAGTACAAGCAAGGTCAAGAAGTGAGCAAGTGAGGCCAAGTAGGCACAAGACCTAGCATCGTACAGAAGCGCTGATGATCACAAGGCTGAAGTGCCTTGGTAAAGATATCAGCAGTGTTGGCCCGAGAGGCCACGTAAGCAAGGCGCAGCTGACCACGCTGCTGCAGCTCACGAGCAAGGAAGTAGCGAAGAGCTATGTGCTTCATTCTGTACTCTAGTCTGTGCTCCCGACACAAGGGCAGCATGGACTTGTTATCTACGTACAGAATTGGAGGAGAACGAGGCGGCTCTCCTAGGTCGGTGAGCAGGTAGGTGAGCCAGCGTAACTCCTGTGCAGCCATGGCCCCTGCGTAGATCTCAGCCTCACAGCTAGAGCCGAGAACAGAAGACGAGCGCCTAGACCGCCACGAAACAGAGCCAGAGCCAAGGCTGAAGGTGTAACCCTGTGACGACCGCTGCGGAGCCTGGTCGTCCGCCCAAGAAGCGTCTGCGTGACCAATGAGGACCACTGGACTCCGCCCTCCAAGCACAAGCCCCATGCCCGACGTACTGCACAAGTAGCGCAACACCCTCTTCGCTGCAGCCATGTGCTATGGTGTGTGTCTCCCAGGAGCAACATAGCGTGCCAAGATGCTAAGAGGGTATGCAAGGTCAAGTCGAGTGCAGGTCATCAGGTACATGAGGCAGCCAACAAGCTCTGGGTACGGGCCACTTGGCTCTACGGACTCATCCGAAGGCAGAGCTGAGAGCGAGTGGCGAGTAGACAGAGGAGTGGCCTGAGGCGAGGAGTACGTGAAGTCGAAGCGCTGAAGGACATGCTGCACCATGTGTGACTGAGTCAGGGTAATGGTGCGTTGTGCTCTGTCCCGGGTGATCTGCAAGCCAAGGTAGCTGCACATTTCACCCAGGTCTGTGCACCTGTGTCTCTTCTACAGCTCAGACTTCACGTGGGCGAGTCCTGCAGTGTCAGCAGTAGCAAAGACCAAGTCGTCGACGTACACGAGGATGTAGAACGGTGGCAAAGAGGTGCTGGTGCGTAGAAACAACGATGGGTCGGCAGTAGAAGGAGCAAACCCAAGAGCCGCAAGTGTAGTCTTCAGTGTGTCAAGCCACTCACGGGGCGCCTGGCGGAGACCGTAGACTGGCCGCCGGAGGCTCCACTGTCAGATTATTATAGCTGATGCATGTTTGTAGGCTATAGTGGGGTAGCACATATGGGGTACAGTTTGCTAGGGTTGTATTTGTACCCAACTCTGACTTAGTCAATTCATTCCTGTTCAGTTAGTTTCACATGGTATAGAGCGGGTCCCTCCTAAGGACCGTTCTTTGGGCCCACCCACGATTTTTTTTCCTGCCCGGAGCGCGCCCTATTCTCCCCGAGGCGCGCTCCCCCTAGTGCGCGTCGAGCTGCCCTTGTGGCGCCCCGAGAGTCGCGCGCGCGAATCATTTTTTTTCGCGCGCGCGGCCCAGGCCCCACTTCGCGCGGCCCTTACAGCCGCGCCGCGCCGCCCTCTCGGCTCTGCCGCGCCGCGCCGCCCTCAAGACGGCCGCGCGGCCTCTTCGTCGCTGCAGCAGGCCCCCCCCCGCTGCACCTCTGTCGGCCCCGCAGCCGCCTTACCTAACGGCCGCCGCCTCACCTGACGGCCCGCCGCCTCGACTTCTGGCCCGCCACCTCACCAGACGGCCCCCCCCCCGCCTCACCTGACGGCCCACCGTCTCACCTGCTGGCCCGCCACCTTACCTGACGGCCCCGCCGCCTCACCTAACGGCCCGCCGCCACCTTACCTGACGGCCCCGCCGCCTCACCTGACGGCCCGCCGCCTCACCTACTGGCCCGCCACCTGACCTGACGGCCCCGCCGCCTCACCTGACGGCCCGCTGCCTGACCTGCTGGCCCGCCACCTCACCTGACGGCCCGCCGCCTCACCCGCTGGCCCGCCACCTGACCTGACGGCCCCGGCGCCTCACCTGCTGGCCCGCCTCCTGACCTGACGGCCCCGCCGCCTCACCTGACGGCTCGCCACCTCGCCTGCTGGCCCGCCACCTGACGGCTCCGCCGTCCCCTGTCCCGGCCCCGCCGCTGCACCCTGACGGCCCCGCCGTCCCCTGCCCCGGCCCCGCAGCTGCACCCTGACGGCCCCGCCGAGCCGCCCAGCAGCAGCCGAGCCGCCCAGCCGCAGCCGAGCCGCCCAGCAGCAGCCGCGCCGCCCAGCAGCAGCCGAGCCGCCCAGCAGCAGCCGAGCCGCCCAGCAGCAGCCGAGCCGCCCGGTACCCGAGCTACCCGAGCCGCCCGAGCCGCCCGAGCCGCCCGACCCAGCCCGAGCTGCCTGCTGCTGTCCTGCCCGACTCTCCTAGCCCGGTGAGACTTTCAGCTGCTACCATGGCCACCCCCAATGTTCTTACTTTTGACGCTGAGGGGAGGGCCATTGACTTTGCCGTCTGGATTGAAGACCTGCAGCTGTACTTACTGTGTGATGCGATAGATGAGGTCTCTCTCTTTGACTTTGTCTCTGGCGCTGTCCCTGCCCCGCCTGCTGATGCTGACTCTGCTGCTCGCTCCAAGTGGGCGACCCGCGATGCTGCTGCACGTCTTGCTGTGCGTCGCCACCTCCCTTCCTCTGAGCGTGCCCACTTTAGTCAGTGCAAGACCGCTCAGGCCTTGTACGACGCTGTAGTTGCACGCTACTCCT